AATGCCCCTGAACTGTACACTTAAAAATGGCTAAGGTGGTAAATTTTATGTTGTGTGTATTTTACTATAATTTGAGAAAAAAAAAATCATCCAGGGCCAAGGCTTTTAGGAAACTTTTAGGAAGTAGTCTTACACTACTATTTCAACTCCTTAACATTTATTAATTGATTGTTTTTCCAGTGGCACCCCTGGAAATTTTGGGGGAATGTATTCATTTCATTTATGTTTTCAATTTTGTTAGCGTACACTTGTTGATAATTCTGTTCTGCTGTTTTTAATAAGTTGTATCTGTTTTTATTTCAATGTTTTATTTCAGTGTTTCATATCATCCTTCTTTTTTCCTTGATCGGTCTTTCCAGAAGTCTTCTGATTTTGTTACTTCTGACTTTGTTATTTCTGACTTTTTACTACTCTCATCTAAGTTTTATTCTCTACCACATTGTCTAATTTCCAAATATGAGGGATTTTTTTCATTCTAATTTTACTGTATTGGGCTGGAAATTATATAATGTATGATACTGAGGACATGGAACTTACTGAAAAAATTTTAATGCCCTCAAACCTTGCTACAGGAAGTGTAGCTCATGGACTAGCAATATTGGCATCACCTAGAAATTTGTTAGGAAATAGAAACTCAGGCTCTGCCCCCCAATCAAATCAGAATCTACCTTTTAGCTAGGCTTCTATGGGATTCATATGCATATCAGGATTTAAGAATCACTAGCCTAATCCCCAAATAAATTAAATCTGTCAAGTAGAAATACACAATTGTAAGTTTTTACTAACGTTCTAGTCCTTAACCAGGGTGCAGATACACGGCCATTTCATTTTATAATTAGTCTTTACACAGATATATTTTATATGCTCAGGCATAATTTGCAGTAGCATGTATTCAAATTAATTTAACCAATGTAAATAACTTAATCATAGTTCCCAGATAAACTTCTTGACATGGATAGCTTGACACAAGCTCAGATAGCTTCATTATAACTGGCTCCAGTTCCTTATGTCTAGCCAGTTTCTTTTCATTGATGCTGAGATTCATCTCACCTTTGCGGTGAGAGTCTTGCGACCATAGTCCAATTATTACCCATGATGTTCTTATGGGATGCCAGGTACACAGTCACGCTAATAAAACTGAGAATATCAGCAACCTAAAATCAGTGGTCTTTTCTTTGATTATTTAGCCTACGGTGATGGGGGAAAATGCCAGAACAAATTGGGGACCTGCAGGAAACACTGCAAAGACGGAGAAGCAATAAAAGAAGCTTGTAAAAATCATCTCAACTGCTGCGTTTCAGCTAATAAAAGCCACAGCCAAGAGGTCTTTGACAAGAAGCTTCCCGAAGCAACTCCCACCACTTGGTATGATTTACCATCAGGTGCTTTTGATATAATTATAACAGTACCTGCTGCAAACCGCTTTGAAGAAAACTTATATGATTGAAGTGAAGACTCTGACAAGGACCAGAGAGCTCAGATGTTGACCCCAGAGGTTCACCACACTTTATGACTTCTCAGTGTCACTCACCCATGTCCTCAGAGCAGTGGACAAAGTCATAGAATAAGATACTAGAAATACCTCATGACCCACCCCTACCCCCCACCAATATGTAATTCTAGATAAAATCAACTGTGTAAAGAAGTCTAAATATTCACCACTTCCCATGGTAAACTCTTCAATGCTCTTCTTAAAATGTCGAATAATTTCCACAACAAAATTGAACCCACTTTTAGTGTTCCTGTGTGTAGGTGACATATGTACACAGCCTTAATCACTTAGTAAAATATCCCAGCATTGATCTTTCCATGTGTCCTCTGTCTTCCAAGCAAGTATCTCAGGATACCAAGGGTATTCCTTACATTTGTCCTGCCATTTGATGAAACCATAAGTAGTCAAGATCAAAATTCTAAATCTTTGCATTGATGAGAGTAGCTATTCAGATATTAAAAAGCTTTCTTCATAGAACAGCAGACACCTCTCATGAAAGCATCCAGTTTCCTGCCAACTTTGGCCCTGACATCTGTCTTATCTCTCACTGTAGCAGATGGGCTGACCCAGGAAGTCTGAGCTAAGAGACTTCTTTGTCCCAGTTGCTACAAGATTGGAATAGAAATGACTGAAAATGCTGTCTCCAGAGGCCTGTTTCCTTGACCCAGCCTGATATGGACATCCAACAGCAGGGACGGCCCCTGAGTTGTGGGTGGAGGATGGACCATTTTTTCACTAGTCTACTGAGGACTTTGTCTCCCTTCTGACAGCACTAAAAATATCTTCATATCTTCTCCGCTTTCACAGTGGTCCATCCACATAACTATCACGGACCTCATCGTTATAAATCTTCTAAGCTTGCTCATTCTATGTCCTGGAAAAACCATTCAATCTATTTCCACTATCAATTAATTACTATAGATTCCTGTTAGGTCATCCCTATGTCTCCTAGAAGGATTTCCCTAACCACTGTCTTTCAGAGCTACTCCTACACCAGGATATAATACAGCACTTCTGGCTGGTGGTAGCATACCATGCAGACCACACTACAGACCTGGCATTGATTTTTCCTCCTTGGTCAGTTAACCATGGAAATTCCAAATGACACCATTAATGTGTTATGAGAAAGAAGAAAGCATAAATGGGTACCAGAAGCCTCTGAGCTACTTACTCCTGCAGTACATCCTTTCCAGGCCTGCTAAGTCTGAATTTTGAACATATAATTTCCACAGAACATTGGAATGCATCTTCATAATACTAATTTTATTATTCAAGGGGTTACATAATACAATACCTAATTCATAATGGAAAATTCAGGCCTGTGAACTTTATTTTTTCAAACCTGTCTACTATTCCTGACAACTGATAACAGAGTCTTTGGAGTCCTCAGTCTCTGAAGTATGGTTTCTGCTGGCCTTAATTTATTGTGCCTTCTTTCCTTGTGTGTTTTGTGATTTGGGGTTCTGATTTGTGCATTTTCCCTCAGAACTTTATCCAAATATATTGGTTGAGTCCTTAGTTAAAGGTCTACTCCTTCATTTACTTCTGTATGAAATCTTGGCACTATAAACTTGGGTCAACTTTAAACTAAATTATCAGTTTAGGTTTTTTTTCTCCAAACCACTCATATACCATGAATTCAGGCTGAGAGAATAACAAGGGTCAGTTTGAGGTTGTAAATATTCAGTGAATTTTTTTAAATATATATACTGAGGACCAAAGTTCAAAATGAGACAATTTTCCTTGAGAACATCTGTTGAAGGAGAAGGAATGTGTAACTAGTTTGTCCTTATATGTGTATGTCACACTGTCAAGACTAAGAAACATGTAGGGGTGTCCTACTAAGGCAGTTCCTCTCCTCTGCCCAGTCCACCCTCCCCAAAACTATAGCAACCAAAGTTGAAATTCACCTGATTCAAGCAATGTCTTCAAGGCAAAAGCCAGCTTCAGCTACTGCCTTCAGAGGAAGGACTGCTTGCACTTGCCCTTGGCTTTGTTGGCCTTACTTTCTTGAAAGGTCAAGAATGCTTAAGACATTTTGTTGTATTTAGTGAAGTTTTTAAAAACTATGTTCAATGAGAACACCACCTGGGTTCTTAGACCAACATCCTTTCTGAAACACAGGTTTAGAACAAGCATTTTTCTCTAGATCTTAAGCTTTGTTGTATGAGAGGATGGAGGATGGACAGCAGCACAGGAAAGGAGGAAAGATTATTATCGAAAGATGAAAATATTGCTCAATTCTAAACCCAAAATGCTAAAATAATTGCTTCCTTAAGTTTAGGAGAGCCATACTGGCCAGGCATGGGCTCATTAAGCAAAGCAAAGTGTTCAGCATATATAACATGAGGTTGTGTTGGTTACAGATGTAGGAATGGGTCAATCATGGTGTGTGTGGGATTCAGAGATCATTGAAAAGTCATTTCAAAGCATAATTCTGTCATTGACAATGTGTTGTTAGAGGTGTGTTCACTCAAGAAAGTTTTCATTGCTCAGCAAAAAGATTTTAAGAGACTTTTTTTTCACTTGTTATCATAGCTGTAGAATTAACAGCTTTTTCCTGGAAATATGGAGGATTTTTAATTTTTAATTCTCAGAAAAGAAGAGTAACCTCAGAGGACTGCAAGAGGACAAATGAAAGAAGAAGCCCCATAGATAAAGGAGGAAGAGAGGCCTAAAAGTTAGGAAAACAAAGAACAAAGTCACAGAACCCAAGGAAGTTAAGGTTTTTAAGGAAGGAATAAGCTATGGTGGAAATGCTACCGAGAGGCAGAATAGGATACAAGTAGAACAATATCCCAAAATTTTCTGAAAGGTGATCCACTGGTCACTTGGATCAGAGTCAGTTCTGTAGAATAATCAGAGCAAAAGCAAATTATAATGAGTTGGAGAGAGTCAGAGGACAGAGAAAGTTAATGGCCATCGGTAAATAATCTCCTGTTGACAAAATTTGCAACTAAAGGAGAAAGAAATAAGATATTAGTGGGAAGTAAGATATAAAAATAAAATTACAATTTTATGTTAAAATCTGGTGTTGGTTGTAATTGTGGGAATAAGCCTTCTGGATTTTCAGGAATGAAAGGATCTTAATAACCATGAACAACAACAGCAGGTAATATTCAAGTTCTTTTTGCAATAATCATCCACTTGAACCCCAACCCACAACCTGAAACTTTGATAAGACAACTTATTCCACACTACAACAGTTCTGTTGGTTAGGAAGTTCCTCTGTGAACTAAGCCAATTTTGTCTACAAGTTTTCTGCCCACTGCTCTACACATCCATCCCACTTGTTCTGCTCCTCTTCTGAGTCCTCCATAGCTCTGCATGATCCCTTCAGCCTTCCCTTATTAGTGTCCACTGCTTTCTCCCCTCATCTTCACTGGCTGGTCTAGTCCTTTTGCTCATCACTCCAGATCTCTGCCACAGGCTGCAGTAGAGACATCTCACCATGCAGAACCCAGTCTCTCACTGTGGTTTCCAGTGAATAAAAGACAGACAAGGGTGGCAAGTGCATGAATTTTAATCAGGGGGATTAACAGCAGCTCTGTGTTCCCAGAAGGTTTGAGGATTGTGGTGGCCAGCATTCAAGGTATCTTGGGCCAGTGGTTCCCATAAGACCAATCATTATTTCCCTCTGCTCCGGTGATGCTTATCCTCACGTAGGACTGGAGGCAGCATGGTTGATAATTTCTGCAGTAGTAGTAGGGCTGCTCATTCTTTTTGCAGGAGGGTCTACAGACTCCAATGTTGCCCATGCATCGAAGGATGGGATGTTTTCCTGGCCAGAAAAAAATAACAATAATACTAATCAGTTTCCACTTAGCAGTAAGAGAGGTAGGGTGAGTTGGGGAGTACAGTAAAAACCTAAAGGATGATGGCAACTTCCACTTCCAAAAAAATGGAGTCAGTGCCCTTTTCTGTGCTTGTCCTTCTAAGTAGAGTTTAAAACCCTGAGCATTATACATAAAGAAATGTAAGAATACCCTGTAAGGTGAAGAAAAGAAGGCAGACCAGGCAGAAACCTCAAAGAATGACAATCACAAATTTCTTTGGTGTTATTTTTTTCATTTTTCTTCCGTTTAGTTTATTGGTTCATTTTAGGTATACAATATGATGACTTTCATCATTGGGATCTTGTACCTTTATGTGACGAATCTTGGTTCTTATTTTTTCTCCATTCCCCTGCCCTCCCTTCAACCTCTCCACCCCTCCCTATTTCCAAAGACTTTGTTTCCATTTTTTCCTTATCTCATGTTTATTCTCTTCCCTTCTTTCCTTTCCCCTACCCCTCCCACCTCCCCTTCCCCTTTGGACCTTTTCTTCCTATTTCATTTATAGCTAAATGGATGCACATTAAGGCCATACTCTTAAGTGAAATAAATAAGACACACGTGTAAATACCGAATAGTTTCTCTGGTGTGAAAAACTGAAAATGTAAATAAGGATCCTTTGGTTTGTTTTTGCTTTGTGTATCCCAGACTGGTGGTGGAAAAGCTGAAAATCTGGAAACACAAATAGTTGCAGAGATTTTTTTTTTAAGTCTGTTCTCTGTAGCCAAAGGGCAAGGAAAGGGACAGCATAGCAATAGGGACCAGTCAAACAGTGATCACTCTGCTGCAGTCAAAGACCACAGAAAAAGCTATAGCCCCACTCCCACCTCCATCAAAAATGCCTGGGGCCGGGGATTTAGCTCAGTGGTTCTGCCACCTGCCTCACAAACACAAGGTCCCGAGTTTGATCCCTGGTACCAAAAAAAAAAAAAAATGGCTGAGTAGAGAGCCTAGACTTCTGCTCTTCCCAAGCCATGAGAAGGTACAGCCTCCTATGGTGGTATCAGAGAGCACTGAATGGCAGCTTGGGCTTTTTTTTTTTTTCACTGCCACCAACAGCACTGTGCAGTTTTATTAACCATTCAAGTACAGTAGCATCTGGTAAAATTGGGACAGAATTGGGATTGAAAAATGAACAGATATTCAGCATCTAACAATTTAAAAGAAGCCACTACATACTCTTTTCACAAACATGTTTTTTCACAGAGCCAATACAGTACTAGCCATTAACCCAGTACACCAAGTATACTGAAGTAGAAAAGACGCAACAAGAAAAATAGCTACATTAGAAAGACCAATACTTTAGAAAAAGAGTAAAACACTTTTAGTTTCTCCCCTTTAACCCCTAAAACAACATCTTACAGTTTGGATCTACCTATACAGTCCTACCATCAGCTTCTAGAATATTTGTCAGGAGAGAAAAAATAAAATGACACTGGCCAGTACAGTCTTTGGATATTTAGGAAGGGGACGGGGAGAAAGTCAGTTCTCCGAACAAATTAGTCAGCTTCAGTTTCATCAGCAGGATCTTTGGAATCTTTGTTCTTCCGTACTTCTTCAATGTGTTTATCCTTCTCTCGCAAACGCTCCAGTTTGGCAGCCATTTGTGCCTCTCGGTTTTCTTTGTTAGCTTCCATTTTGTGGGTCAGTTTCTCTTCCGCCATTTTACTGAAGTTGTTCTCTTCTATTGCTTTTTGAAGCACTTCTTTCTCATGGTCTCGTTTCTCAGCAAGCTGCTTCAAGACTTCAGCTTCATGGGACTTGCATCTTTCTTCTGCAACTTCTAATTTCTTCCGAATTTCCTCCAGGGAAAGATCCTTCTTCTTTGGAGGAGAAAGGGGGAAATCTGGGACAGATTCTTTTGACTGAGGGCTGAGAATCAGCTCAAAAGCCTGGCCTGAAGCACGTTTCTCCAGTTCTTTCACCTGAATATCAGAAGAAGCCATGGTGAATAGAAGACAAGAGACTGGCGGTGTATTCTACACAATCCACTGGTAAGGAAAGCCCTGCTCAGTCCGAGCCCCTTGGCCACACTCTGAGCCCAGCTTGGGCTTTTGTCATGCTGGGTAGTCATGAGGCCATCACCACCTCAGAAGGTCAATAGAAATCACATAAGCAGCCTCAGTGTCCCCCGCCTGGTAGGAGGAAGGCATCTTTCCATTTCCCTGATGGGTTGGTGACAAAAGAGACCTAGTGGAGAGTAAAGACTTTTACCATCATGCAACAATTTACAGGCTGCCAGGGCCCACAGTGCTACTAAAGAGCACATGGGGAACAGAACACCAGTCCCAGCCAGGGCAGTACCAGAGGAGGCAGATCTGGGACCTGGGACTCCCACCAGTACTCTGCAGTAATGAGGAGCCACCTGGCCCCTCCCACCTCCATGTCAGAGGAAGCCACGTGGAGAAACTGGGCTTCCATGCCTCCTGGAAGTATCAGGGAAAAGGCCCCTTTTCCCTGCCCATGACAGTGCCAGAGCAGGCAGGTTAGCACCAAGTGCTGGGGTATGAAATATATTCCCATCAAATTTGACCAATAGTAGTCCTTCAGTGGTAGAATGTTCTTTTTGTTTGTTTGTTTTGGGGGTTTTGGTGGGGGATGCAGGCTGTACACACATAAGAACCAGAAACATGGTTGCTAGTCTGTAGTAAGCATTTAAAAAATGTTTCCCATTTTTGGTTTTTGCTTGGGATCAAATCTAGGGTCTTGTGCTAGGCAAGTGCTCTACCACTGAGCTATTCATGCAGCCCTAAGAAATGTTATCCATTAGCATTTGTCTTCATTATTTTTCTTGTAGCTGAAACAAGATGGCTTTAAATTAAATTAAAGGAGGAAAAGTTTGTTGTAGTTCACAGTTTGTAGTGGTTTCAGTTCTAATTGGCTGGCTTCAAAGAAGGGTGGCATGGCAAAGGTGCATCACAGAGAAGAAATAGTCCATGGTAGGCAGAAGGCAGCAAAACAGTGAAGTAGTGAAGCAAGCAAGAGATAGCAGCCCTCTTTCTGTCTTGTATTTTATCCAGGCTACACACACTTGTGGGGGTAGCACTTACACCAGGATGGGCCTTCCCATTATCCACACCCAGAATTATGCCAAACCCATCAGTGGAGTAATTTAGCAATCACACACACTTAATCCCAGCATCACACACTCTAGATACAGCCACCTCTGCAAATGCCCCCACCTATGACAACATGAGGCTTTGGAGGGGACATCTAGACACCAGCCATAACAGCATTATTATTACTCCTCCTTGGAATTGAGGTCTCCAAAATAAAAATTATCCTTTGACTAGAAAGAAAAATTTTAAAATGATCATTACCATTTGCTGAGCATCTACTGTGAGCCACTTGATATATATCCATCTAGTCTTTATTATAGTCCTTTGAAGTGAATGCCTTTGTTCCATTTCTTGCCTTATTAAGCTGAGGAAAGAGAGAGAGATTATGCTGGCAAAGCCTCCCTGGCTGCTAGAGGCAGAGAGAGGACTCATTCACAAGCAATCTGCCCTTTCTCATGTACCATATTGCCTGTCTACCTGGTAGGACTTTATTTTGAGGAGAGATTGGTGACTCCCTGGATAATGACAGCTGGGTTCTGGGTTGTCTTCACTGTTGAGCCCAAACTTTAAAAACTGCCATTACAAGTCCTCTCACCCATTCCATGAATGATTGTTAGCACCTAATATTGTCAGATCTTAAACTTGGCACCTGGCACAAAATGGTCCTCTACATCCAACTGGGTTTAACACAAAATCAAATGTGTACTTATATACACAGCATGAAAATCTTGGTCCTTGCATAAATAAAAATGGTGCACTCCATTGCTTTTGTCTAGGACATTTGTGTTGCCTAAGCAAATATTTTTACCCCTTTGGGATCTGGGCAAGAAGAGAAAATGAATCCTCAGTATATGTGGTTTAGATTCCAGGTGCTGGCATGCAAAGCAGAGGCTGAACAGTACATCAGCAGGCTGCTCATCAGTCCCATGAACGGTCCAGGACAGGGAGAGGCCTGGTCTTCCACCTTTGGGATCAAAATCCTTCTACACCTGCCATGCCAGCCTTCTCCACAGACAGGCATACTCTCTATCCATCCTTGGCATCCCCCAGGTTGTCCCACCAGGAGGGAAAGAGAGAGCCAAAGAAGCCTTAAAAATACAAAGGCCAAAGCCACATCCCTTTCTGTCACATCCTCTGGAGATGAGGTCCCTTCTCATTTTCCTTGAGGAAAAGCGCCAATATGCATTAGAAAGAAGGATGGGCAGAACAGGACATCTGAGATGGTGAATCCAGCCTGAAGAGGATGGAGAGAGGCCACAGCATCCCAGAAAGGGATTTCACAAATGCTCAAACTAACTCCAAGACTTTTGTCAGGGGCTTTTTTTCCCCTCATACCCATCCACCTGTTGACTCCATGTCACTCAATGCCACTACTCTCTGTTTTACCCACATCTACTTAATACCATGTTCAATGTTCCCTCAGCCCACTCTCCAAAAGCCAGCAAAGAACCACTATTGATCCCTGCATTGTCTCTAACTATGAGTGTGGCTCACTTTTCCTCCCTTGAGCCTCAATTTCTCCATCTGTGAAATGGGAAAATAAGAAAAGTTCTCCTGGACCCTCCCAGCACTGAGGGCATTGAAGAATGAAGGAATTGTTGAGGGTGGTGCCTTATCTTCCAAAGGAATAATCTGAGGGAATTTTCAAAATTTCACATGCCCAGAGATTCAGGCACATGGGTAAGTGTCATCTGAAAACTTCTTGTGGCTCAGTGAAGAGATCTGAACCCCTTCCTCACCCCAGCAGTTGCCTCTGGGTACCCAGAGTTAGGCACAGAGGAGGTTCTTAATAAATGGTATTGGCCAAGTGAGGAGACAAGTATTCCTAATGCATGAATTTGTGGAGGATGAACTCCTGTTTGTGAAAGTATCAATGCCAGGCCTCAAGCGTTAGGGAGCCCTGGGCCTTCCCTGCACCACCTTCCACCCTGTGAAGCCTGTGTGTTTCAAGAGCAAGCTAACTGAGGAACAGAAAGACCCAAAGACTTGAGCGAGACCTAGGAACTCCTCTGCACCCTTCTCTGCAGAGGTCTTCTGTTCCCCTAAACTCAAAGGATTCCAACCTCGTCCTTCTGTGCCCACACCAAATCCATTCATGCTGTCACTTGTGAACCCATCATTCATCAATCAATCAAGAAATACTTTAAATATTAGCCTCTGTGCAAAGTACTGGGCTTAACACTAACCAGATAGCTGTAAATAAGATCTTGGCTGAGCTCCTAAGGTTTTCCACTTAATATGTGCCTGGTTGGAGGATTGGCAGGAGGGAGACAGTAACTCAAACAATTACACAATAACATGGTACATAGCATAACTTCTTAAAAGTGAGTTTGTGAACCCAATCAGAACTCAGTTGGGAAAAGAGAGATGATCTACAAAGGTGAGATCAAAATCTGGGAGAGGAAGGCAAGTGGAGGGTCGTGTATCATATGTACATCAGAATACTTAAATGTTAGGATTCAAGCTAATGAAGGAGGCAAATAAAATACATTCTATCCCCTTCTGTGAAATAGTCCTTTGTACTGACAAGAGAGATCAGATTATAATTTATAAATTCTTGGATTTCTCAGAGTTGGTGCAGAAACCAGGCAGCAGGGGGCAGCTGGCCCAGGACCCCTTCTCTAACATCCCAAGCCCTGTCCCCAGCTGGAAGGAGCCACATGCACACAGATGTGGACACTCCAGCCTGAACATCCAAGCTCTGCCCATTTGCAAACAGGCATGTCCTTGACTCTTCTCCTGTCTAGGGGTGAACACCCAGTTAGACCTACCTTCCAGGGGAGGACCTTGGGGACAAGCGCATGGAAGCAGGCACAGTGGGCCTTTTGGGTAGGCAATCTCAGGTTCCAGTACTCACAGAGAAGTCCAGAGATTGGAGAGGGCAGTCACAAGCTTGGGACAAGAGGTATGTCCCTCCCATCCCAATGATTCCTGCCTCCTCCATGGGGAGGGTCTTAGCCAGAGGAGCCCTGGAATAGAATCAGGATCAGGAGAGGGATTTCTCTTTCTAGGATCTAAACAGAAAAATATTGAATTGAAAGCAAAGTATCTTCCTGGATAGGAGTGGACTCCTGCTCATCTCAGTGCCATTTTTGGTGCTTTATGGAGCCCCCAGGTCCTGAACTCACCCACAGGCAATATAATTCGGGGTGGGGGGACTGTTTTGGACAAATGAAGCCCTAAGAATAAGATTTGAGATACTAAAGCCTGGGAAGACACCCAGGTTTTCTAGATTCCCTAGAGATTTCTCTAGGATTTTTAAATGTTTCCCATGAGTTAGTCTTCCCCCAGGCTAAATTATATGTTGAAATGAGATAGCCTTCTGTCTCAATAGAGTCTAGCACAGCCAGAAAGCATGCAGCACATATTCAGTAAATGCCTGAATAAATCAATAAACAACTGCATCAGCTAAAATTTATCAAGGGCTTACTATGTACATTGGGGTGGGGGGGTCCACAATATTGATTATGCCCAAAGCAGGATATAAAGAGTTAACCCCACAGTTGGCTGGTTTATAGAAGTGAGTCAAGCCAAAGCCTATGTGCCAAGGTCAGAGTAACTCACACCCAAATTCCATTCCCACAACTAAAACCTTCTTACTAGGAGGACAGGTTGTTCTAATTACAACCATATATTTTGTTTATTCTGTTCCTAATTCAAGAATGCTTTGTCTTGTCCTTTATGAGCCTTGCTTACATTAATTTCCATAGTAACCATGAGACTGTGCATCCTCGAACGTAGTCCCACCCTCACATGTGGCTTGCCTTTACCCAACTGATTATTAATAAAAATCAGTGGCTTGGATGGGCCTGAACCTTTTGTTAAAGCAGCATTGGCCATCTTGGTGTCCTGCTTTCTGTCACTCTAAGTTTTGTCTTTTAGCTTTTTTCCTCAGGCTTGCATCACTGAGCAGGAGACTGGAGCCAACTGCAGAGGTTTCAGGTAATGTTTCAGGGGTTCTCAATAGTACTGGACACTGTGCATTATTTCATTTCATTCTTACCTTTATCCTGAGATAGATAATACTATTTTCTAGTTTTCCAGATGGGGAAGCTAAAGTTCTGAGACTTTTATACACAGTCTGCTAGTTTATGTACAGTCTCTAGCAGACTGGAGATAAATGAATGAGTAAATTAATCCATAAAAAATGTAAAAATGAATAATGAAAAAATTCATATATTGATATGGAAATGGGTAGATTTGCACGCTTTATCTTTTTTAGCACATGGGAACCTTCTGACCCTGAAGCTGTGGGCTTCAGAGAATGAGGAAGCATTTGAGCTGACTTTCCAGGAAACCCAAGATTTGGGCTTTACCCAGTACCCCATTCATCCCTCTCCATCCTGGGCCCATTCACTACAAGATGGACCAGTTATCCCAGCCCAAAGATTCTCCCACCTTTCTATGCACCTTTCTGTGTACCTGAAGTGCCTTTAAATCTTACTGCTCCCCCACACATTAGTTTCCCCAGTGCAACCCCTTGTAGGGTTGGCATATGAGGAACCATCTTGAAAACTAAAATTGTAGCTGGGCATAGTGGTGCACTCTTGTAATCCCAGCAACTGAGAAGACTGGAACAGGAGGATCACAAGTTCAAGGCCAGCCAGGGCAATTTAGCAAGACCCTGTCTCAAAATAAGAAAAATTTTTAAAAGCTAGGGATATTGCTCAATGATATTGCTTCACAAGTTCTAAATTCAATGCCCAATACCACACACACACAAAACAAACAAACAAAAAACCCTGTATTCTTCTCCCCTTTGCTAGGGCCAGTCCTAATGACCCCTCTCTACCACTACTTAACTTTGTCCTGCCAACTCCCACCCTCGATTCATTTTGACTGACAGACACAAGAAATATATTTGTGAGTTTAATGAAATGTGGAAACAAAGGAACCTGACACTAAGTCATTTCTATCTGTGATTTCTATTTTTCTTTCTTGCCCTGAATCACATGGACATTATAGGAGTGGTCTAGCCAAGATCTCCATCAATTGTTATCAGCTGGATTGTTAAATGCTGGTTAAGGACACAGGACCATTTTCAATTTCAACTGTGTATGGTGCTGTCTTCATCATCTCTGCACACCAGCTGGCAGTGTCCATCCATCCAACACTGTATTTCAGGCACAGGAACAACCATTAAGTAGATGTTAGTCACTAATGTGGAGACACAAGAGGAAGCAGGGAAGCAATAGGGGAGTAGGGGTGGGAAGGGGAGAGAGAGGACTCAATAAGTAACGGCGGACCCGGTCCCAAGAAAAACAAGAAAAGACATTGAGAGGGAAAAGAAAGGAGACAATTGTTCCAACTGGAAATTTCAAAGTTTTCAGGAAAGACTTTCCACCCTTCTGTCTTCTTATTCCCCAACTTCCTACTTCTTACTTTGGAATCAATTTGGATGCTAATGAAGTTCTCACCAAATGAAAGAGCTCGGAAATGGTGGAAAAAGGACAATGTCCAACTATACCATTGGGAAATGATTTTAACCCTTATTTACACTTTCAGTTTCTCACACTAGAGAAACTCTTTAGTATTTACACATGTGTGTCCTATTTATTTCACTTAAGAGTATGGTCTCGATATGCATCTATTTAGCTATAAATGACTCTAGCTTCTCATTCTTTATGGCTGAGTAGTACTCCATTTTATTTTTTAAAAAACCCACATCTTCTTTATCCAGTTTCCGGGTGATGGGCACTTGGGCTGTTTCCAAGCTTTAGCTATTACAAACTGTGCTGCTATAAATATGGGTGGACATATATCACTGTGGTGTGATTCTTTTAATTCTTTGGGGAAGATCCCCAGCAGGGGAATAGCGGGGTCAAATGGGAC